CGAAGGAGCACAGGGAGGGGCCCTAGTGGCCGCTGGGAAATGGCGTTCCCCCCCCGTTTCACCGGAGCCTCCAGGCCCCCACAGCTGGGGGTGGTGTAGCACGGTCATTAACACTGGATTTCCAAGGCTGGGGTCTGAATTCCTGCTTCACCAGTTCTGAGAGTCTGGCTGTCGCTCCATGCCTCAGTTTCCTCATTGTGAAAGCAGGAGTGGTTAACAGGGGCACCAGCTCACAGCTCACAGGGCTGTTCTGACCACTCAGTGAGATGCGGCATCTAAGACGCCTGGCAGGACCTGTTCTGGCTCTGTGGCCTCAGAGGTTCTGTGACTGTCCCTGGGCCCCATGCTCCCATCCTCGAGGTGGGAGTACAGCCCGCACGGAGTAGGGAAAGGAGCTCTGAAAGGGGTCGGCACGCTGTGGGTGCTCGACAAATGAGCACTCCGATCCTTCTCCCTTGTGCTAAAATGTGCTTTACTGACTCCCAATGGCATCAGGAAGGTCAGAGTGAAGGGGTGCCTGGCTCAAAGTCCAGCCCTGCCTGTTGTACACTGTGTGAGCAAGCTGCTCACCCTTCCTGAGCCTCAGTTTCTCATCTGTGAAATGGGGCAATAATAAAAGCTGCCTCAAGGGAGAAGACCGATATTGCATAGAGGCCGGTACTTAGGACGTGCCCGAAAGGGGTAAGGTATTCACGGGCTTGGCCCTCCGGGGGCATCCAGAGCCATTGGGAGCACTGGTGATTGTGGGCTGGGGCTGGTTGGAGTTGAGCCCTGGGCCCAGGGGGCCAGTGGGTGCCCGGACATGGTAACAGCCCTGGCATTTTAACAGCTCTGATGTGTTACTAGGCCCTGGAAGGTTCCTGGATGCTGCTTCCCGCACTCCTGGGCTCACGGGCCTTCCTCCCCTGCCTCCAGTGAGGTTTGGGTCAGGCCCCTCCCTGGTCCCGTCAGCCGTCCAGCCCCACTTCCGAGCCTGCTGCTGTCAGGGCGGGAACGCTGTTAGGGCTCCAGGGAGCAGGCCAGCAGTCCGGACCTGGCGGCGGGAGGCGTGATGCTGGGGGCCTCGGGTGCTGGCCCGAGCAGGGAGACGTCGCGTGGAGGCCAGGGGACCCACGGAAGATTCAGACAAGTAGCTGCTTGCTGAGAGTTGATGGGTAGGGGCCGGGCACCTGAGGGTGCAGGGCATGCGGGCAGGACAACAGGGGGCCCAGAGTAGCAGCCTGCCCCGTCAAGGCTGTCAGTGGGGATTCAAGGGGAAGCGTTTTGGGTGAGCCCAGGAGGCGGCAGCCAGCTGCCCAACCCCCCATGCCCCGCAGCCATCCCCAGGTGAGCTCAGCGAAGTCACTGGCTGTCCTGCCTTTTAAGGCGATGGCGGCTCCTACCACCTCCTTGTTCCCACTTGCTCAGACATTCCCAGCAGGTTATTTTTTTTCCAGGAGGAATGGAATGAGACTCTTTGTTCTGTCACCACAGGACTCCAGCAGCGAGGCCTGTCTGGGGGTTCCGGTGGCAGGGAGCACTGAGGGCAGCAAGACTCACCCTCAGTGACACACATGGGCATGGGCCCGCGACCGCAGGCCCACAGAAATGCCTGGGGACCCTGGTCTGCGACGCCCAGACACCTGCACAAGCATGGGTGAATCCCAGAGATGTGGGGAATAACATTTACTGAGCACCTACTACAGGCCAGTCCCTGGCTGGGGAGGCAGGAAGGATCCAAGCCCTTCCTTCACTGAGTCCAGAAGCCTTTTCCCCACCTCAGGGCCTTTGCACCTGCCATTCTTGCTTCTTGGCTTGTTCTCCCCACAGAGCTCCAGCAGGCTGGCTCCTTAGCACTCCCAGTACTCAGAGAGGCCTCCCCTGCCTCTCCTCTCTACCCCAGTGGCCTGTTAGATGTCTTCACAGCACTCATTACTTCTAAAAATGGCCTTGCTTACCAGTGTTTACGGTCTGCCACCCCCAACTGGACTCTAAGCTCCTTAGGAGAGCGCTTTGCGCTCGCCACCACTCCCAGCACCTGGAGGACGGCTGTGTCCAGGTAGCAGTCAGGACATCTTCAGGGGGCTGCTCTCTCTCTCACACACACCCACACATTGAGCTTTCACACTTCCGCCAGTGTTCATCTTAACCACAGCGACTCCAGCCATTCGTGCACCCACTGGGCCTTATTTGGCGCCACAGGCACCACTGAGGTAGTAAGTCACCACCAGATGTGACTGAGGCTTGGAACTGTTCCGAGTGCCCAAGGTCACTCACTGGCCAGGCGCAGGGCAGAAATGAGGACGGGGCAAGGGGATGGTCAGCATCCAGGGGGCTAAGCCTCCAGGTCAAGTGAGCCTGCCCCTGAAAATGACTCTGTGCATGTGTCCCATGTGGGGACATGAGTGGTGACAGCCCAGCACCTGGAGGCACACCTGCGGTGCTAGATGTGTGTACACGCACCCATGTTCTCGGCCTCGGAGCACACACCCTGGGGGTGGAGGGTGGGGGTCTGTTCTCTGGACCCTGCATCTGCAGAACCACCCACAGCCATCTGTAACTCCAAAGGGATAGAGCCCCGGCTGCAGCGTCAGACCAGTAAAGCCCTTCCCACCTGGGCTGGGCTCCAGGACTGGTCTAACTGTGGGAGGCCCACTGGGATGAGCAGGTGGGGCCCGCCCTAGATCTAACCGGATTAGGTGGGCCCCATGCCTGGCTCTGCCTGTGGGCTTCAGTCCCAGGAGTGAGCAGAGGACACCCTGAGGGGAGGGGACTCTGCCCCCTTTAATGCTGGGAGGCCATCCTGCAGGGCACCCACTTTCACCCCCTGGTGGCTCCATCCTGAAGTACAGCTCCAGCCCCTCCGGGCCCTGAATACTGAGCAGATGGAGGGCACTCAGGGTTAGTAGGGGGACATCTGCATTAGCCCAGGGGTCCCAAAAGGGCTTCAGAAATAGACACGTGGGAGTCCCGGGCCAGCTGCTGCACACTGCTCTCCAGGCCTCACTCTGCCTCGGGACCTCGCCCTACATTTAGGGCCTCTGTTCACAGGGGTGCCACAATCACTGGGAACCAGAGGGACAATTTGGACCTCCAGTACACGGGATCTTGGTCCACCCACCCCCGATTACTCCCTTTCCAGATTGAAGGTCCAGGGGAAACCAGAACCTGCTGGTGACCAGACTGCAGGGCAGGGCAGTGCTGCTCCAGCTGCGGTCTCCACTTGCTGGAGTGAAACATGCCACAGCCAGGTGTGGGGGGCAGCCTTGATCCACCAGCTGTGCCCCGCTGGCTGAGGCCAAATTGATCCCCAACAGCAAGTTCTGAGATCATCCACCTGGCTGCTGTGAGCTTAGAGGAGCTGAAACACTCATTCTGGGGTCAAGCCTGGTCCACAGCAGGTACTCAACATGCAAGTCAGCACAGCATAGAGTGAGGACCTCCTGGAGGAGGGGAGATGGGTGGGCTGAGCCCAGTCCTGGGGCAGACCCAGGCCAGAATGGGTCCAATGACCTCATTCAGCTGGGTGAGCCCATTAAAACCACCAGGGCCTTCCTCTGAGTAAACACCGAGGTGTTTCTTCCCAGTTCCAGGTGCAGCCTGTCCCCTTCAAGGGCCGGAACTGGGCTGCAGGTCCCAAGAGAACCCCAACAAGCCTTGACTGGAGCCTGCTCCCTCGTGGGTTAGTGACTGAACAGCTCCAGTGCACACCCAGCAGACCCAGGGTCTGCCCTGCCGTGCCTGTCAGCTACCAAGACGATCAGGGACAGCAAGTTGTTGTCACCTCTTCCCCTTCTCCACAGCTGCCACCCAAGCTGTGCAAACACTTCTACAGCCCGGCCCGGCAGCCTCGCCGCAGTGACAACCGTTTCACACAAAGCCTGTTTTCCCAGGCTGACCTCCCAAGCCCAGGCTCAGCCTCAGCCTATCCCTGTGCCCAGCCTGGCTCCAGGTCCAGCAGGTGACAAGGAAAAGGAGACTGAACAGAGCTAGCTAAGAAGCTAAGAGGTCAACGGCAGCAAGCCTCTGGAACCACAGGGGCCACAGGGAGGCAACTAAGACAAGGGAAAGTCAAGTCAGAGGCAGGTATCACTGGAAAATAATTTTTATTGAGATCCCACCAGCTGCACAATTTGCTCCTGACATTAGGCTCCTTCTTCCTTCGCAATTCGGTCTTTCTTAAGTGGTCCCTGTGAGAAAAGGTGCAGACGACACGGTTAGTGGAGGCAGGAGGCAGGCTGTCAGTAAGAAAAAGCCACAGCCCCGAGGGATCAGGTTCTGGGCCCGTCTCCCCAGCCCCAGATGGGCAGGAGGGCAGGCTGCCATGTGACAGCGGCAGGGGGCCAGGCAGGTGCTCACCATGAACGCTTTCTTCTCCTCCATTGTCTGGAAGCGGCCGTGGCCAAACTTGGAGGTGGTGTCGATAAACTTCAGATCGATCTTCTCCAGGGCCCGCCGTTTGGTCTGCACCAGCAAGGACTGTGGGCCAAGAGGAGAGAAGGTCGGTTCTGAGGAGCAGGGCTTTCTCTACACCCTCTTATTTCACAGGCTTGAGAGGGCAGAGCATCAGCTGTTATCACCAGTGACTAAGGAACTGGCCCCCACACGTGAAAACAGAAACAAACGGTCAAGCCAGACTGGAATTTCCTCCTCCAGGACTTCAAAGACCATGCTGAAGGAGCAGCAAGCCCCCCTTCCCTTTGAACTCCCCTGGCCGCCTGTGGACCGCGTTCCCTGTGCCAGTAAACATCTCGCCCCTCCTCCACAGGTTCCCGGTGCGGTGCCACCCTTGGCCCCCCCATCTCACCTTGCGGAGGGTGAGCACTCGCTTCTTGGTCCCCACCACACAGCCTTTCAGCATGACGAAGTCATTGGTCACCTCGCCGTAGTGGACAAAGCCACCCTGGGAAAAGCAAGGCCATCGGGTCAGGTCAGCACAGCTCAAGCACAGGGCTGGAAACACGTCAGACCCGCAGGACCCCTTCCGGTTCGGGGGTCTGCAGCCGCCCGACCACGGGGCTGTTGTTCTCAGAAGGAAAGCAGCAGGAGCGTTTCTGCGGTCTGACTCCAGCGCTGGGCCAGAGCCCACCTCTCCCCAGCCAACCCCAACCGGAGGGGGGTTACAGGCCACTACAGGAAGCAGAGAGCTGGCTGCTGGGCACGGACCAGTTAAATGACTGCAAACACAGCCTCACACAGCAGCCAGGACCCAACAGCAGGTAGCCCCAGCCCCAACATCAGACGCTTGAGAAGTCAGCTCCCACTCCTCACCAGAGGGTTGATGCTCTTGTCCGACAGGTCGTAATCGGTGGAGGCGTTGTTCTTGATCAGTTTGCCATCCTTGATGAGGTAGCCCTGGCCGATCTTGTAGATCTGAACAAGGGAACGAGTGTAAACACTTGCAGAAGAGGAAACAGGGCAGGAGATTCAGGAGACTCACACACGCACTACCCCCCTAGACAGAGCAGGCTGGCACGACTGGCACTAGGGACAAGGACTCTGGGAAAGCACCTCTGACCTCAGCCCCAGGCTCAGAAAATGCAGAAGAGCTGGCTGGCTCTAAACAAGACACTGCTCCCTGAGACAGTGGATGGAGGCCCCTCCAACACTTCATGGCAAGAAAGGACAAGCTCTCAATGCTGGTCAGGCCAAGGGCCAGGGGTACCAGAACCACCATTGAGGGCTGCACCCCACCAACCCTGCCACCCAAGAGCCAGGGCTATGCCCATCACACCAGCAGCTAAATTCCGGAAATGCCCAAAGCTCCACCTCCAGGAGCAGTGTGACACTGACTAGAACCCCTCAACCCCAGGTACACGGTCACCTCCCCCCACCAGAAGGGACTCCCACGACCCCTCCCTCAAGCACCTCACCTTCTTATTGATCTCAGTGCGGTGGTGGTAGCCCTTCTGCCCAGCCCGGGCCACGGAGAAGGCCACACGGGCAGGATGCCACGCCCCAATACAGGCCACCTTGCGCAGCCCGCGGTGGGTCTTGCGGGGCAGCTTCTTGGTATGCCAGCGGCTGGTGACCCCTGGAAGACACATGTTGTTACCGGGGTGGCCAGCACCTGTGCCACTGGCCTTTTCCTGCTGGAAGGCCCACTGGAGTTCGATCAACTGGGAAGTTCCATGGACAGAGGTGGGTTCGGTCTGCACGCCACCCTCTCATGGCCACATCATCCCAGGTTGAATACCCGTCTAGACACGAAATCTTCGGTTCTAAATGTGAGAAGGACAGGCCCTGGAGAATCAACCCTCGACCAGAGGTCACCTCCCCAGTCCCCGGCCACCCCACCACAGGGCTGTTCTCAGAAGGAAGGCAGCAAGGAATGTTTCCGCAGTCTGACTCGGACGCTGTGCCCAGCGCGCATTCCAGAGCCTCATCACCGAACGGCCGGGTCGGAGAGCCCTGCCCCGAGAGTCAAAGCACAGCAATCGGGGCCACTGCAGAACTCACCTTTGTAGCCTTTGCCCTTGGTCACCCCAATGACATCGATCATCTCGTCCTGTCCGAACACCTGGCTCACAGGGACCTGCTGCTCCAGCCTCTCACGGGCCCAGTCCAGTTTTTCGGCCACCGTGCCTCCATTCACCTGGATCTCCATGAGGTGGGCCTTCTTCTGGCGCAGAGGAAGCAGGCGCATCTAGGAGGAAATGGATGCACCTTAGGTCCCTGAGCTCCAGGCTCTTCACCCATGGAGAAAACAGCCTTCCCGTGTCCCGACTCCCCACTGGGTGCAGTTCCCCTTCCAGCTCTGAGGAGCCAACCCTGACCAGACACACAGGGCCCACACCAAGACAGGTCAACTTAGCCAGATCCTGACACCGACTAGCCAAATGCTCCTGATCACTGTCCTTTGGGCAGTGCCTCTGGAGACTGCCCTCATCCACCTTGCCCTTCTACTGTGCTCTATGAGCTGCCCACAAGACACGTACTTTGGAAAGCAGGATAGCTTTGCAGCTAACAGTATCAACCACAAGAGTCAGAAAAGGAAGTGAGTTCAAGCCTAAAACTTTCAGTTACGAGGTGCCTGGTGTTATCCCACAGAACTCTCTTCAGTGGTGGACCGTTGTAAATCCGGGGCAATGTGGCCATCACCAACTGCACAAGGCCACAAGCGCTTAGGAATCAGGGTGTACGGCCAGGGCAGTGTTTGCCCAGACCGCAGAGGGGCACCCCCTCAACCCAAGCCAGCCGAGGGCTTCTTGGGCCAGGCGTGAAATGCACGTGGCTTTCAGTCAGGCATTTGACAGTGTTCATCAGGAGTCACCAATTCCTTCAACCGGTTCCCCTTAAAATGGGATATGGGTTCCTTAATGAAGAGCCAACAGGGACACAGTGCCCTCTGCTGGCAAGTGAAAAGACCAACCCGCAAGTGCGGGGGCACTGAAGGCCTTGCTCAGACCACCATCCAATGGGCCTTAACCTGGCCCCAGGAACCCAGGCTCCAAGGGCAGACGGTGTCTGGACTTGTTTGCTGTGTAACTTCACACAAACCCTGGGCTGCTCACTGGCCTATCTCCTCCAGGATGGAGTAAGTCTAGGGAACCTGAACCAGTCCAGCCAACCCCTTAAAACCTGAGGCTTGGCACAAAATCAGCTGGAGCTGAGGGGTGACTCAGAAAGTGAAGTTTCCAAATCGATGGCATCTGTCATTCAAAGGCCCACACAATCAAAGCTGCCTCCATGACAGGAGGCAGCAGGGAAGCTGCCTACCTGGGCACACCAGCGAGTGCTCACCTGGGTGTGGGCGATGACGCGGATGACCTGGCAGTACTTCTTCATGCTGCTGAAGTCCTTCTCCAGCTGCTTCTTGCCATCATCGTCCTGCCACTTCTTGCAGTACTTGGTGAAGGCCTTCTTCTTAGATTTATGCCTTCAGGAGCAGAGCAGAGTTGGGGAGGGGGGCCGGGTGCAGGCCTTCATCACCCAAGGGGTGAGAGGAAGGCACATGGGCACCACATGGGGATGGGGCTCATTGCCGGCTTCTAAGGAGCCTTTTCCACCGGCAAGCGGAGCCTGGATGGAGCTCATCGGGCAAAGCCGAGCGGAGCTGAGCAGAGGTCCACAAGGTTAATGTAAGTCACACATTCAGAAACACACTATTTCTTGCTCCGCCCTAGCCACTGCCCAGGTAGGAGGACTGGGGGGAGTTAAGACTGCTATCTCTTAGTTTTCTAACTGGATTCTCAATACTTCAGCAGCCAAGAAAATCCTGAAAACCGTCCTTGGCCAGCACCCACTAAGCTGAATCTGAAAGGAGGTCTCGAGGTGCTGCTCCCAGCTCAGTTAACCAGGGATGCTCAAGCTCCATCCCCAGGAATTGTTCTGCTCCAGAGGCAACTAACCCACCACCAGAACACCCCCAAGAACCCCACACAGGAGAGCCTCTCTTCAGCCCGACCTAGGTAGGGTGTACACGGCGTCCCCCTCCCTCACCAGTTCTTATAGAAGCGCCTCTTGCATTCATCACTGATGTGCTCCGCAAAGATGGTTTTGAAGGTGCGGAGGCCTCGAGGGGTCTCCACGTAGCCCACAATGCCCACGATCACCATGGGTGGCGTCTCCACAATGGTCACTGCCTCCACAACTTCCTTCTTGTTCACCTCTGCAAAGAAAGCCTGGGTTGGACTCGAGTGGCTAACCAGGATCCCCAACCAGGGTGTTTTGTACAAATGTGAGGTGCTCGTGTGGGCCAAGAGGGCAACCTGCTTCAGGTGAAAGGTAAAGTCACCAGAGCAGGGTGCACGCCAGCAGCCTGGACTCTTGCGGGATGCCCTTACTGCACACTTGTCTGCATAGTCTGACATTTTTAACTTAAAAAACACAGGACTCTCGTAAAGCAAATTAACAGCCTAGCTTCAGTTCTTGTCTGTGACTGAGATCCCTGGAGCAGACAGATTCCTCATTACCCAAGTAATACACAAGTACTAAAGCAGCATAATAGAGCCTCATAATAGCCCTGCGCTCAGGTAGATACTAACCACCTAAAGTAACCAGTGCTGTGTCCTCCCACTTGGTGACTTTTCTACTTCGAACCTCACAACCCAGGGATGTGGGCAGTATTCAAGCCTTTTAGGTTAGTGTATTTCCCTGCACTGTGGCTCTTGACAAATTTACACGTCGCGCACCTTAACTTCAATACATCCCTCCAACTGCAAACAGCAGTGCCAGCCATTTATAACCTCAAATATATTAATCTCCATCCTGCTATCAAAATACCTGTCAATCTCTCAGATCTGCCCTCTGACAGCCTGGCCCCAGCTAGTCCGTCCCTGCCCTCTATTCCTCACCCCCCACCAGCTTGGAGAGCACAGCGTATACATACTGGATCCTGGCCTATCGACCTCACGAACAATGTGGGTCATGCCAGCCTTGTAGCCCAGGAAGGCTGTGAGGTGGACAGGCTTGGAGGAGTCATCCTTGGGGAAGCTCTTCACCTTCCCGCGGTGCCGGCTGCTGCGCTTCCGAGGCAAGAAGCCCAGGGACCCATGCCTGGGAGCGGAGAACTTCCTGTGAGACTGTGAGATCACCAACGTCAGTACTTTGAGCCTGCACCTCACTTCCTGACTCCCAGCTGCCTAGACGGTCCTGAGGAGCCTCAGCAATGCTGAACCAAACCAGAGACCCAGCAACCCCAGATAAATGCTTAACTGGGTTTGCTTCATGCAGGGTCACACATCGAACTTTCCTGTCAAGTCCTCTTGTAATCCAGCAAGAGGAACCACCCACTTCTTCCCTAAACCAAGAATCCACCCCCGATTTTAAAATAGCTTAACAGGTGCCTCTGTGACTGAATCTGAAGGAGTGACCACAAAAGGGGCTTCTGGGACAAATGGTTGGGTAGCCAGTGACCAAAGGCTGCCCTGGCTACAACGGAGCACAGGCCACTAGAACTCAACAGAGCCAAATCAGAACATGACAATCAGCACAGAGTCTCTGTCCGCCCGTCAATAAGTTCATCATCTGTGGTTTCTGGGAACTCTAGAGGCCTGACGAGTGGTCCTGCCCACACTGTTCCGAGACGATTCGGAATGAGGACTCAACGACCCCAGCTTAAAAGTCTCCCCTCCTGCCTCCTGCTTTGATTTCTGCACCTCC